CGGTTCAACATTGAACCTAACCAAAGCAAGCAGTACCACAACATTTGTGGGTTGGCACACAAGAGACGATGGGAGCTAGTGGGCTGACAGTATTTTTTTATAGGAGACGTGGTCCATGCGGCAAAAGCGTGACCAGGACACTTACTCAGAGGCTTGAGCCTCGAATTAGTCGCCTAGACGCAGGGTAGGGCTAATAGCGCCTCAAGTTGGCACAGATGGGGTGGCAGGGTTCGAGTGAAATGTGTGAACCAGGGAGAGGGCAGACGGATCTTACGGAGCAAGAGAGACTGTGGTAAGACCTAGGGAAGGACAGCGTAACAATATGACAGACTCTGATCAACATTCCCAGCACAAAGATGAAGTAGGGTGAGAAGGCCAGCGTGTAGTGCAGAGGGTTCTTATGAAAGCCGCTAAAAAAGGGCACACCGTACCACATTTAATTAAGCAAGTAAAAAATTGCGACAGTGAAGGCGTGATTGGAGGAAATAGGAAAAATGAATAGGCTAGAGCAGAAGGGGAGATACCACAACTGTTTTGCACATGTTTGGTCAAAGGATCGGCTTCACTTGTTTCTTTGACGATTTGTTGAATGGTGCTAAGAATGGCGAGGCTCACTGATGATGCCGGCGAAACGTCTGGAAATTTACCACGTCCACGGTCCGACTTTGGAAATGATTATGCATACAATGGACTTCAGACAAGGTGTGTTCCCTAAGTCTTCCTACCAATATGACCAAATTGCGAAACCAGGGTCAAACAACTTCTGTACAGCGAAAAGAGACTCCGATCCCACAAAGGGCCACACCATCTTCCTCTTCATACCTTAGTTTTGGTAAATTTGTCGGCTTGACTGGGACTTTTAGAGCCTACCAAATTAATTTAGAGTCTTGCCGTAGTAATCATATTAATTTCTAGCATAATTAGTGTTCCTATATGACGGAGGCTGTCTCTAAACCATAAAATGCTTGCCCTCTACAACGTGATATAAAGTTGCATACCTCGGGACGAATAGAGCATAGGAAAAGTAGTATAATCAAGTGGCCTATTTAGAAAACAATGGAATCACAGTATAGCAATTTACAATAAGGAAACAATCATTGAAGGCGGCATGAAATAGGAAAGTCTAAACTTCGCGGGTCGCAGAGGCGGTGGCAAAGACGAGGCTAAAAAGGTGGCTAACCTAAACCATATCATGAATTGTGTAGTTATCCACGCCAACTTTTGATTGGATAAGGCGGTGCCAAGTTTTGATTGGTCGACACGAATGTGAGGATTAGTCATACTTTCACGTGATCTCCGTTCCCAAAGCTGTTGAGCTACGTACGTCATGTAATATACTAAACGTTGAACGGGAAAAGTGTAGGAATGAGGCACTACAAGTCCATTGACTTGCTAAATTCCAATACCATTATCGTAATTGGAATCGACATTGAGACGCAGCATCGAGTTGCTACCCTGGCATAACGAGGACGACCTCTTAGCAGCAAGTCTGGGAATTTACCAAGTCATTGGTCAGACGCTAGCCTCATATTATTTTGATCCACTTGACAGTTGCTGCAGTTATCTGTAAGTTTAAATTTGTTATTGCATTACAACTCCTTATTTTCACTAGCCATTTGTGCTCTTTGATATGAAAATAAAGCGGTTTGAGCAGTAATTGAACTATACTATACTACATAATATCTATAGTCATCTTACTTTTTTCATCTTTGGTTTCTGATTTATTTGCTCAACAGCATTAAATAAGGTAACCAAATAATATTTTTGCTGCAGATTACTTCGTAATATTAGCTAACTTTCTGGCTTTTCTTCTTCATATATGCCTCAGCTACCATCCAAGTTATTGTTATATACTTTTTCAGATAGTAAAATTTATGTATCTAAATTTCTTATTCATTTTTTCATCTCCACTTTATTTACCACTATCCGTGTACTTGCTGTTATTTATGGCATTATTTTTACATTAATCAGTCTTAATGCTCAGTCGACCTCATCGATCCCCAAGACTCGGCGATCAAGCCTTTTGGTTGGCTTGCCAACCACTGACTTTCGTGACCGCCGCCAACAACAACAACAACAGCACTCCAAAAATCCCGCATGTGCTCAGACTATTAACACTGCCTCCGATCAAACATCCACCCCTCGGAACCATGACTTTTCGGTGAATGATGGCCTTGCACTTCGCCCTACTGGCTCACAACCTAGCCAAGGTTTTTTACAAGCTTGCATCTTCAAAGTTGGGGATGATGTTAGACAGGTAAGTGATTTCTATCAATTATGTTATAAGTGTTGCTCGATATACATGATTCATTTAACCATGCTGTGCCACAATATCTTTTAATCAATCCAACAATGTTTGCATTACTTCCCTCGGCATCTTAAAACGCTCATTTATTTTAACAATATATTCGAGCAAAGTAAATCTATATTTGGCCGACCAAAGTTAAATACCTTATAGCATTCCTTTTTTTCCAAAACGAAATGCTCTGCTTATTTATAGGAACAAGAATTCTCTTTATTTAAAGAGCTAGGCTTCTTTTTTTAATCTTTCCCTTTTTTTGCATGACTAGATAATGCATTTAATTGGTTCATAATCTATTAACTTTATGATGCTGGGGATAGTAGACTATTTAATCTTATTTATACAGGTATTATACTATATCGAATAATTCGTTAATAATACTTTTCTTTACGAAGGATGAGCTTTTTTCTCAAAATTTTTCTTGACATATTTGCAAATATTTGCCTCTTTAGTTTCCACTTACTTATTACTATGAAAACCACGTGCTACTTTGTAAAAGTCAGAGTATCCTCTATATGCCTGACACATTGACACCTTGAAAATAACATCCATATTTCCTTGCACGGTGGCCTCGGTATCCTTCAGGATCCTCTAACAGATTGTGTAAGGTGTCTTTTCAAATAGTGATATAATATTTTATTTTGTTTCAAACTATTCAAACTTAGTTTAACCTTGAGTTCCTGGCTTTTTTTATCCCCTTTTTCAGGATATTCTTGCTCTGCAGGTTATTCAACTATTCAAGAATATTTTTCAAAGATGTGGGCTAGACGCATTTCTATTTCCATATCGCGTCGTTGCGACGTCACCTGGCGTAAGAATAATGCATAGTATTTTACTTTTTACATGTCTTCACACATTCACATCGATTTTAATTGTCTATAACTTTTTTAAGCATATTTTCTTTACGTAAATCTTAAGATAAAATTTTAATGAAGCACCAATATTTAGTCGCTATTTTTTTACCATAGTTTCGTTCAAATTTTTTTAATGATAATTACTCATTAAGCGAGATTAATATCCCGCTGTAAATTGAACGGAATTAATCCCATGATTAATTTTAATATACATTTTATTCTTGTGATCCTTCATCCATTTTTCACAATTTCGATCTCGCCGTCTACGGTTTTTTCAGCCCTTCGTTTCCTGCTCCCAACAAATTAAATCAAATCCTTTTGGAAACAATATTAAGACCTAGAAGGGGTGGATTAATAAAGATATTACTTGGAGCTTAAGTCGACGTGCAATTTATTAGTAAATCGGGAGGTAGGATGATGGTGCTTTAATAGACACTTGCTAATTTTATACAAGCAGTGAATAAATTGAATGTGGGCCATTTGGCCAAAGGATCATGATTTGTTTTTATGGATGTCTACTGCTTTTACTTTCAGACGACTCATGCTTTTTTTATTTCTCCATTTTGGATTTGTTTTGTCGGTATACTCATTTTTTTTAGACGATTAATCAGGATTCTTTATTGAATGTGAGATTCAACAAGATCTATTTTCTAGTCACCTCTCCCCACATTTTTACCATTCAATGTTTTGTTTTCGTTACATCCCATACGTGGCCATGGCTCAACATCGTATGACGCAGAGATCACGTGATTGCGTGACTAATTTTGACTATTTCGCATCGTCCAATCAAGGCTTGACACCGCAACTTCCAATCTTAAGTCCACATGGAAAAATACGCCGGGATATACCAAGTAGCTAACATCGTGTTTAAATTGTTCACGCTCTTCTTCTCTTTCTGCCCTCCGCTGTGGCCCGCGGAGTTTAGAATTTTCTATTTTTTCTTTTCTCTCTTCGTTTCGGGGTCTGCATCTTTGGAGTTGTCGAGGGCAAGCGTTTTATATTTTATAGACAGTTTACGTCCTTTAGAACAGAAAAAGTTCCTATACAGCGCCTTAAGGACTTTTATGTGTTAGATATTAAACGGTCTACTATTTTTCCAGATTAATTTAGGAAATCTTTGTTTTTACCTAGCTCATTATATGCACTAAGATCCTCAATCTGTGATGCGATTTTATTGATAAGTTTAATTTAATTTAAAATCGCAATTTACGAGTGGAAAAAATAGCTTTGCATGTCTTTACTTGAATTTTGGTTGTTTACGGAAATATCTTTCCTGTATGTGCATACGTATCCACCAGATTTATTTATTTGCTCCTACCTTAGATTAAATGGTATTTTTAATTTAAAAAATCTAACTCAAATGGCGATCCATGTCTAAGTAAAGATATAATTTAATATAGATTAAAAAATCCCTTCATTACAGCTTTCTGCATCGTAATTTCTTTGGCTTCATTAGATAAGAATAATGTTCAGCATTTATGGTATATTATTTTCATTTTTAAGTATGAACTATCCTGCATTATATATAAGTAGTTTGATCTTGTTTTCGCACCTTGGTCATGTTGGTAGGGAAACTTAGAGTAACACACCTAGTTCGGAGTCCATTGCATGACACATTCTAGAGTCGGACCGTGGACATGGTACGAATGAAATTCTTAGCACCACAGTACAATTTGTTAAAGACCAAATGAAGCCGATCCTTTGACCAATCGTGGTATCTCTCCTGCTCCTATATCCTCGTATCACGCCTTCACTACCACGATTTTTTACATGCTTATTTAAATGTGATATGTGTGCCCTTTTGAGCAGTTTTAATGAGAACTCACCATACTTCACACTGGTTTTCTTACCCCTCTCATCCTACTTCACTCTTTTGCTGGGATTGTTGATTAGAGTCTGCCATATTGTTACGCAGTCCTCCTTCCTTAGGTCTTGTTAGAGTCTCCCTCTTGCCCCGTAGAATCCGTCTGCTATCTTCCTGACTCAAGTATTCACTTGACCAATGTTACCTCACCTGTGCTCCACGAGGCGTTATTTCCCACACTCTGCCTCTGGGAGACTAACTTGAAGCTAAAGTCTCCTAATAATTATCATGATAAAGCTAGTGTTTCATGCACCACTTCTATGGTATAACAGGCCTTTGTCTGCCAAATAGCTCTAGTCTCCACCGTGTCTATCGTGTTTCTATCCGTAATACCAAGTCTATGACTTCCTATGCCCTAGTTTATTTTGTGTCAATCGACAAAAGTTGTGGTTCAGCATTAAACTTAATCAGACTAAGCACTACCACAATATTTGTGGGTTGGCACACAAGAGACGAAGGCAAAGGAAGTCATAGAATTAGTATTACGGATCGAAACAGGATAAACGCTGCGGAGACCATAGCTAGTTGGATATCAGAAGGACGGTTTTACCATAGAAAAGGGTCCATGAAGCAATGGTTTGACCATGAGTATTACTTGGGGACTATCCTCTAGTTAGTCTCCCAGAAGCAGTGTGGGAAATAAAGCCTCGAGTATCACAGATGGGGTGGCATTGATCGAGTGAAATCAGGGCGATAGCAGACGAATCTTACGGGGCAAGAGAGATCTTCTGATAAGGCCTATGGAAGGAGGACTATTTATCAATAGGGCAGACTCTGTCAACATTCCCGGCATGAGTGTGAAGTTGGTGAGGGGGGTTAGAAAGCTAACGTGGTGTTTTAGAGAGTTATTATTATAGCCGCTCAAAAGGACACAATACCACATTTGAATAAGCAAGTAAAAATTGTGATAGGGAAGGTGTCACGCAAAAATGTAGAATTGTTGATTAGCCCAGGGCCGAAGGAGAAATAATATGATTGTTTAGCAGACAAGTGATCAAAGGATCGGTTTCACTTGTCTCTTTGACGAGTTCTAGTGTGGTGCTAAGGATGATGCTGGCAAAACGTCCTGGAATGTACCCCGTCTATGGTCCGACTCTGAAACTTATCATGCATCCTCTAATTCTTACTACCAATATGCCTAAGTTACGAAAACAAGGTCAAACTACTTCTATACAACGAAAGGAGACTGCGACCACACAAAAGACCACATCATCTTGGTCTTCATACCTTCGAT